GCCTGGACGGCCGCCGACAGCAGAAGCACCGGTGCACCAAACCACCGGTGCTCCCTCCCGGGCGCAGCCCGCATCCCGCATCCCACTGCCGCTGGCCGGACTCTGCCACTCCACCCACCTTTATTGCACTGGTAAAACCCAATAACGAGTAAAACCCCGTTAGCAGCAACCGAGAGGGCTCCGCGCACCGGGAACAGGGCACCCGGGGCCGGCCCCGACCCCACTCCCCAGCAGCCCTCAGGGTTTCTCCAAGCGTGGGTATTTCTTGCGCAGGACGGAGACCTGGTCCTTGAAGAGGACGGGGTCAAGGCGCAGCTGGGAGGACACGAGGGGCATGTAGCCAAACCAGTCCACCAGCTGGTCGAGGCAATCCTGCCGCTGGGAGAAACGCCGACCGCTGGCCACACCCGCCGTGCCCTTCACCTTGGCAGGAGGGGAACGTGGGGGTGAGGGGCTCTGCTCCCCAACTGGGGGACGGGGGGACGCGTTCCCCACATCCCCATCCTTGCACCCTACCTGCTGGGGCACGGTCTCCTTGTGCTGCTTCCGTTGGGTGACCTTGATGGGCGGCAGCTTGGTGACGGCGGCCACCAGGACGTTCATCAGGATGTCCTCGCAGGCGGCCAGGCCGTCCACCAGCTCCCGCAGCCCCGCCGGCAGGTACTCCGTGAAGAGGCTGTGATAATACCTGGGGAGGGAGTGAGGAGGGGGGGGGCAGGATGCGGCCGAGCCCCCCACCCCACCGGCCTCTCCCCGGCCGGGTACCTGTGGTAGAAGGCGGCAGCGGTGAGGACAATGGAGAGCTCGTTGGTCCACTTGGAAGTGTAGCCCCAGCGCCTCTGCTCGGGGTCCCAGAAGTGGCTCTGCGTGGGGAAGCCCACGATGCGCTCGGGGAAGCTGCGCCACACCACGAAGGCAAAGTCCACCTGGCACGGGATGGGGGGACGGTGTCACCCGGCTGTGGGGACCTGCTGGAGGGGGCTCACCATCGCCCCCGGGCACGGGGACATGGGGACAGCAGGCACCGCTCCCTGCCAACCCCACGGTGACCACCGAGCATCCTTCCCGGCTCAGCGAGGGGCTTGTCCCAGCTCCACGGGGCTGGGGACTGCAGCGCCCCTGGCCTCACCTCGCTGGTCGAGAGGCTGGTGTGCTCGTCCAGGCTCAGCACGGCGTCCGTCTGGATGGCCGCGTAGGGGAAGAAGCGGTCGCTGAGCTACAGGAGAGGGAAAAATCAGGTTGGGATGTGCCATCGGGTGGATGTCCCGGCACCCTGCCCGCATCCCGGCTCCTCTCACCTTCCCCCTGCCCTGGATGATGGTCAGAGGCACGGTGGTCTGGGGCCATTTCCCGCTGGGCGGCGGTGGCTTCTCGCAGCTCCACAGCACCAGGATCTGCAGGGGGGAGGACCAGCGTGTCTGGGGGCGTTTGGCCGAGCTGACCCCTCAAGGTGCGTTGGCACATCAGTGTTCCCAGGGCTGAGCCCTCTCCAGCCCCGCAGCGGGACCTGCTTTAACCCAGCTCACCCCAAAACCATCTCACGGTGGTTTGGACCACAACAAACCTGCAGATGTTTCCACCTCCACGCAGCTCCACAGCACCAGGATCTGCAGGGGGGAGGACCAGCGTGTCTGGGGGCGTTTGGCCGAGCTGACCCCTCAGGGTGCGTTGGCACATCAGTGTTCCCAGGGCTGAGCCCTCTCCAGCCCCGCAGCGGGACCTGCTTTAACCCAGCTCACCCCAAAACCATCTCACGGTGGTTTGGACCACAACAAACCTGCAGATGGTCCCACCTCCACCCCAGTGGGCCGGGGAGACAGCTCTGCCCACCCAAGGGTGACACCACCAGCCACTCCATCCCACCCCCAACCCACCCTCACCCTTCCCAGCCCACGGGACCCTGCCCCATCCCTCCTGCTGGCGCTGCACCGAGCGGCGTGGGGCTCAGCTCCCCCGACCTGGGCGCAGTACTGGGATGTGGAGACGGCCTGGATGAGCCTGAGGATGGGCTGGGAGAGGGAGCTAGCCGGCGAGACGGCCCGGATGAAAGCCGTGAACTTCTCGGAGGGGCTGGAGCCTGGAAAAGGATGGGGAGAGGAGAGATGTTGTGACATGCACTGAGTTGGCCGTGCTCAGCCAGGGCAGGCGGCGTCCTACCATGCTGCAGGTAGTAGAAGGGAAAGTCCCCGAGGTGGGTGGAGAAGTCGGGCAGAGCCAGGAGCCCCCCGGGCAGCGCGTTCCAGAGGAAGCGGGAGCGAGAACGGTGAGGGCGCAGCCGGTCTTTGATGATCTGCCAGAGGTTGGGGAGATGCTCTCAGCACCGCGGTTGTGACCCCGGGGTCTGGGCTGGGGTGGGGGGAGCTTGGGAGGGGGGAGCTCACCTCCAGCGTAGTGTGGACGATCTTGTCGACGGAGGAGAAGTATGCGTCCCACAGGAACTGGGTCTGCTGCTGGAAAGCCAGCACACGCTCCGGGTGGATGCAGCGGACAGCAGAGGGAATCTGCAGCAGCAGTGGGGGGAGTTTGTTTCTCACCTTGTTGTCCCCCCCACCCCCAGCCCCCCGGCAGGGCTGCCTTGCCTCTGCCACCTCCGTGCCATCCCGAGGGACACTTCACGGCCAAGGACGCTGTGCCACCATCCCACCACGACTCTGCCACCTCCTCTCCCTGGAGCAGGATCTAGCCCAGGACCCCCAAGTGCTTTGGGTCTGGGGAGATGCTCAACACCCCCCCTGAGACGAATGGTGCTCCAGGGCCACTACTGGGATGGGACCCCCACTCCGGGCTGGATGAGACCCCCCTGCATCCACCCACAGGAGGGCTGCTGGGCTCAGCTGCGGAGGTTTCACCCCCCAAGCTTGACTGGGGGCTCCACCACCACTCTGGCATCAACATTTTGGGGGGAAAAAAGGGTCTGGTGCGGGGCAGGATCCGGCCGCGGTACCTGCAGCAGCAGCTTCTCATTGCCCACGACGGCAGCTTTGCCCCAGTCGATGGCTTCGGCGAAGGGCAGCTCCCAGCCGTCACTCAGCAGCACAGGGATGCCGGCGGCCTGTGGTGGGACCCCGCACAGGTTGGGACAGAGCCCCCGCACCCCCGGGGGGGGGTCACCCCTCCCTCCTACCTGCCCCATACCTGCAGTGCTTCCAAGAAGCGGAAGGAGCCCAAGCGCCGACCCCGGGGCACGATGCAGAAGGTGGAGTTGTGCAGCAGCTCCTGGTAGTCGAACCTGGGATGGGAGGTGGGG